GAGAGAGAGAGAGAGAGAGAGAGAGAGATGAGCCCAAGAAGAAAGAGACATGTTTCCTTTAAAAATGGAGGAGATTCAGGGGCGACGGCAACTGCCTCAAGCATGTTGGGGGTGGAGGATTTTGCCTCAGCAATGTAAGTATGTACAGTGGTACCTTCGGGTTACAGACTCCGCTAACCAGAATAGTACCTCGGGTTCAGAACTTTGCTTCAGGATGAAACAGAAATCGTGCTCCGGCGGTGCAACAGCAGCGGGAGGCCCCACTAGCTAAAGTGGTGCTTCAGGTTAAGAACAGTTTCAGGTTACAAATGGACCTCCAGAGCGAATTAAGTACTTAACCCGAGGTACCACTGTTAAAAGGTGATGGTGTGCAGGCCTAATGGTCAAAGCTTCAAAATGCCAGTTTTCAAAATGATGCAAGTCAAATATTTGGGTCCCAAGGGGTGGAAATATTTATCCTGATTGGAGCAAGGTAAAGGTCCTTCAAGAGGGGCCTAGACCTCTCCACAAAGAGAGAAATAAGAGCTTTTCTGGGGGGACAGGGATATTGTCCTCCATTTATTTCTCCTTGTAGCCCCCATGCTGCTCCTTGACATGACTGGAGAAGAAAGACCAGCCAGACAAGAGCATTTGGAGGGAGCAGTGCCAGGCAGCGTTGGGACATTTAAAAACAGCCCTAGATCCGGGGTCAGCAAGCTTTTCCAGCCGGGGGCCGGTCCACCATCCCTCAGACCATGTGGGGGGCCGGACTATATTTTTTTTGGGGGGATGAACAAATTCCTATGCCCCACAAATAACCCAGAGATGCATTTTAAGTAACAGGACACATTCTATTCATGTAAAAACACACTGATTCCTGGACCGTTCGGGGGCCGGATTGAGAAGGCGATTGGGCCACATCCGGAAGAGGACGGAGTCTTCATCTCCTTGGTTGCCCTTCTCTAGGAGGGTGGGCAGATTGCGAGGAGCAAAAACGAGGATGCGATGATGACTCTCCTTTTAAGTACTCCTACTATAGTTAGGCTAGAGAAGCTGTGAGATGTTTTGCTGAGGGGGGGGGGCAGGAGAAGAGAAGAGGAACACAAGTCTTCCACCCCCAGTTATGTCTCCTCCAGAACGTCTGGCCAGAGACATTTTGACCAATTTTTTAAAAATCTGGTGGATTCCAGCAGACCTCAACCATCCTGCTCTGCCTGCTGCTCTACTTCTCCATCCCATAACTCCTAAGCTCTGCAGCTCACCTTGCTTCACCTGCCAAGGAAGAGGGCCCTCTCACCTTTGGCTCTCCTACCGAGTCCCTTTCTTCTCTGAACAGCCAGGACCCCCAGCCTCTCACTTCATGGCCAACTTGCCTGGTTGAAGGAGCTTTGAAGACACGCTGATTCCAGAGGATGAGGAGCGTCAAACACACTGTTTAACCCACACGGGTCTGGCACCCGGTGTTGGCAACCCAAGTCTCAATCCAATTCCAACATTTATGAAATTGAGGTATTTTGCGGGGCTTGGGCACCCACCAACTTAGAACAATGTCACCAGAGGGGGAATAAAAGGCTTCCTAGGAAAACCCCCTTGGCTGCTCCTGGGTTGCTTCCAAGGCGACTTCACCAAGAACATACATTTATGGCTGAAATACAGAGACAAAGCAGCAGGTGGGACAACACAGAATGGCCCCCCCAGCCATGTCTGGCAATGTCTGCCCCCTCCAGCTGCTCCTTCAGCCCCCCCCCGGGACCCCCTCTTGCTGGGACAGGGCTCTCTGCCCCGCAGCCCCTCCAGGGGCCCCCAAGAGAGACATCCCCATCTGCCCCCCAAGACCCCCCCTCCCCCATTGCGGGCCCAAGGGCGGCCTCTTCCCCTCAGAGGGAGCAGCTCGCCAGGCCCCGGATGGAGCAGCTCTGCGCCTGCGCGAAGCCCCTGACGGCTCCGCCGGGAGAGAGAAGGGTTAAGGGGCGCCGAGCTGGCTTCCTAGAGGGGACAGGAAAGGAAGGCGGAACGCTCCTCCCCCTCCTCCCCTCTGACGTCCCTTCCGGCCAGAGCGGCCTCGCCTTCGCCTGGCGGGCTCTGGTGGGTCTCCTCTCGGGGGAAGCCTGGGGAACTCCCTGCCCCGGGAGGCGGGAAGGGGAGGGAAGAGAGGCTGGGGGTCCGGGAGGGAGCCAGAGGGACCTCAGGCCCTGGCCAGGGAGGTGGGACTGGAAGACAGTGAGGAGGGAGAAGGACATTCGGAGGGACATAATTGTGAGGGAGAAGGACATTAAGAGGGACATTATTATGAGGGAGAAGGATATTAAGAGGGGGATTATTATGAGGGAGAAGGATATTAAGAGGGACATTATTATGAGGGAGAAGTATATTAAGGGGGACATTATTATGAGGGAGAAGGATATTAAGAGGGACATTATTATGAGGGAGAAGTATATTAAGAGGGGGATTATTATGAGGGAGAAGTATATTAAGAGGGACATAATTGTGAGGGAGAAGGATATTAAGAGGGACATAATTGTGAGGGAGAAGGATATTAAGAGGGACATAATTGTGAGGGAGAAGTATATTAAGAGGGACATAATTGTGAGGGAGAATGTTTATTAAGAGGGACATAATTATGAGGGAGAAGGATATTAAGAGGGACATAATTGTGAGGGAGAAGTATATTAAGAGGGACATAATTGTGAGGGAGAAGTATATTAAGAGGGACATAATTGTGAGGGAGAATGTTTATTAAGAGAGACATAATTATGAGGGAGAAGGATATTAAGAGGGACATAATTGTGAGGGAGAAGGATATTAAGAGGAACATAATTATGAGGGAGAAGTATATTAGGAGGGACATAATTGTGAGGGAGAAGTATATTAAGAGGGATATTATTATGAGGGAGAAGGATATTAAGAGGGACATAATTATGAGGGAGAAGTATATTAAGAGGGACATTATTGTGAGGGAGAAGGATATTAAGAGGGACGTTATTATGAGGGAGAAGTATATTAAGAGGGACATTATTGTGAGGGAGAAGGATATTAAGAGGGAAACACCAGGAAGCTTCCCTTCTCTCTCTATTCATAAATCTCCGTATGTCGGCCATTTTCCCTCCCTAATTCTTTATTTGATGTAAAGTCCAGTTTCCGAGGCGTCTTCCAGGGCAGTTCCACCCAGAGGGCCTTGCCACCGTCCCCTCGGATCCAGAGCAGGAAGTCCCCAAGGGATGGTGGCTGGAGCTAGACATGGGCCCTGCTGCTCACCAAGCCACCCAAGCAGATATGGCTGGCTTGGGGTGAAGCTCTGGAGTATGAAGTGGGGTGGGGAGGGACCCCCACTGTTGCCTTGGCTCCAGATTACACTCACTTGTCATTCACAGTTATGACTTCTCCCTCCCCCTTTTCCCCCCATACAGCTTGGAGTCTGAGCTGTGGTGCAATCCAGCCCTGGTTCCTAGCAAGACTCAGCCACGCTTCTTCAGGAACCATTCTTCTCCTCTTCATCTTACAATAGAATAGTGTGTTTGATTCATACGATTTTCTGCACCTTGGTTTGGACCCACAGAACTTGGCAGAGGACCAAACGGCTCCTTCCAATCTCTTGGAGACTTCTGGAGAGCCCAGATGGATGAGCAAGACTCAGCTGGCCCTGAAGCAGGAAGAGGCCATGCCATGGAAACAGGGAGCAGTGGGGGATTCTGGGAAAACTCCGTGCAGAAGATCCTGGGTGAGGAGGACACCCTTTGCTCAGAGGTGCAGAGCCAGCAGCTCAGGCAGTTCTGCTACCAGGAGGCCAAAGGACCCCGAGAGGTTTGCAGCCAGTTCTACCATCTTGACCATCAGTGGCTGAAGCCAGAAAGGCACACAAAAGCTCAGATGCTGGACCTGGTGATCTTGGAGCAGTTCCTGGCTGTCCTTCCTCTGGAGATGGAGCACTGGGTGAGGGAATGCGGAGCGGAGACCAGTTCCCAGGCGGTGGCCCTGGCCGAAGGTTTCCTCCTGAGTCAGGCAGAGGAGAGGAAGCAGGCAGAGCAGCAGGTGAGAGAGACTTTCCTCTGGATACTCCCAAGGGGCTCCAAAGAGGAGGGAGAGTATTCCCAAATCATTTCCTAATGGCCCATCCTTTTTTGGAAAGCATATTATTATTATTATTTATGACACCCATGTGGCTGGGTGCCTTCCAGCACATATAAAAGCATAAGAAGACATCAGATGTCTTCTAAAAGTTATGCATGTTCTTATCTCCTTCTCACCTGATGGGAGGGCATTCCCCAGGGTGGGGGCCACTGTGGAGAAGGTCTTCTGCCTGGTTCCCTGTAACTTCACTTGTCACAGTGAGGGAATCAGCAGAAGACCCTCGGAACTGGAGCTCAGTCCATGGAGACGCTCCTTTGGGTATACTGGGCCTTTGAGACCAACACTTTGAATTGTGCTGGGAAACGTTCTGGGAGCCAGTGAAGATCCTTGAGGACCAATGTTTCATGGTCCTGGCAGCCAACCCCAGACACCAGTCAGGCAGAAGCAGGAAGCAGCTTTCACCTCTGTCCCCCGAAAGCGCTTGCCTCCCCCATTCCTTCTCTAACCCTTCTCCACATTCTCTGTTTTGAATCCTTGTTGCTCTTTCAGAGGAAGGATCTTTTGGCAGAAATGGGTCTTGATTCTTCTGAGGCAGAGAAGACTCCGCTGGACGCCAGAGTGAGGCCTCTGGGTAAGGAGGAAGGAGGGTTTTCTCCCCCGTTTTGTCACATTCTCTTGGTTTTGAAACTAATCTGTGAGTTCTTTGCATCTTTTGGGGGAAGACACCTGGAGCCCAGGGGGGGGTAAGAGATGTATTTTTGCACAACTATTATATGAAATGGGTACAAATGTCCAAATGTACTCAGCAGGGAAGACTTTTACTGCAGCTGGTTCAATTCCACAGTTTATTATCTCTTCCAGCAATGCCTGTACATTAGTCCAAATTGAGCTCTGATTGACAGGAGAACCTCTGCTTCTTAATGGCAGCGAACGAGGGTTTTCGGTAGGCGAAGGGCTTTTGCACTCAGCGCCTCCCTGCCTCTCGCAATCCATGCCGGAGCCGGAGCCTGGTAGCGAGACAAACTGGGAGTGAAGCCCGTTCCCCCCTGTCCCTGGGGGCAACTTGCAAGGAGAATTACCCTCAGTCATCCTTGTTTTTCCTTTGCCAACGATCTCCCGCTGCCTCCATTAAGGCAGAGCGGAACCGGAAGCTAGCAGGGGAGACTTGGACGAAGCCCCATCTGTACGTAGAGATGCACTGTTTCACCTCTGAGAGAAGCACGGTTTCCACTTACCTTTGTCTCTCCCAGGTGACGGAATGATGCCACCAAGACCTGCTCCTTCATCTTTTCATGGTGGTGGAGGGGAGGCAGCAGCTGTGGACCCAGATCAGGTAGGGGGAAGGAGCCTTGTGGGGAAGGACTGCTGGGATACAGACTGGCTGGATGCAGAGGAATGGTGGGAGGAGCCAGAGAAGAGGGAGCCGACTGGGAGGAGGAGGAGGTGTCTGAAGCTGGAGAGGGAAGAGGGCTCAGGGAGCAGAGGGAGTCTGTGGCAGAGAGCAGCCCAGACTCCGAGGCAGAAGCTGCAGCAGGAGAGAGGAGGGATGAGGAAGGCAGAGAGGGGTCTGGCCGCTGTAGAAAACAACAGAGCCAAGTGAATGTTCTCTAAGAGGACAGCCTTTTTCCTGTTCTGTTAGGGTCCAGTGTGCTTTGAAGATGTAGCTGTCCATTTCACAGACAAGGAGTGGGCGTTGCTGGATCCTGACCAGAGAGCTCTCCATAAGGAAGTCATGGAGGAGAATCGTGGGATCTTGGACTCTCTCGGTAAGGCTCCCTATTGGATCATCCTATCTGTTTTGTAATGCAAGACATCTCTCTATGTGACGAACCTCTGATATTTTGATGGGGCTCAACAGCGCCACCCACAGCACCTGGGATGTTAACACTCCCACAGCAAACCTTGGATGGATGGCTATTGATTGTTTTCCCTGTGAATATTCTTCCTCCAGTTCTGCCGTTTAAAACCATGATCAGGGTGTCTGAACTGCCCAGGCCTTCTTAAATGTAGGATTCAGAGTGATTTGGGATGTTGAAGTAGCTTCAGTCAAGTTTCCTGCTTTTGTTCTTCCTTCTGTCTCTCTCTGGTTGACCAAAGAGTCGCTTGACATTGGAGATGGCACAGATTCCACGACTGAACCAAACAAACTCCATCCCAAAACAGAGACAGGCTTTTTGAATCTCAGGCAGTGAACCCTGTAGTAACAATAATGATAATTTTATTATTTTTACCCAACATCAAACATTAAAAACTTCCCAATACAGAGGTGCCTTCAGAAGTCCTCTAAAAGTTGCATAGTTATTTCCTTGACATCTGATGGGAGGGCGTTCCACAGGGTGGGTGCCCCTACCGAGAAGGCCCCCTGCCTCGTCCCCTGTAACTTCTCACAATAATGTAACATTTAAGTACAGTGGTACTTCGGGTTAAGAACTTAATTCGTTCTGGAGGTCTGTTCTTAACCTGAAACTGTTCTTAACCTGATGCACCACTTTAGCTAATGGGGCCTTCTGCTGCTGCTGCGCTGCCAGAGCACGATTTCTGTTCTCATCCTGAAGCAAAGTTCTTAACCCGAGGTACCATTTCTAGGTTAGCGGAGTCTGTAACCTGAAGTGTATGTAACGTGAGGTACCACTGTAAGGAAACTGGAATAATAATAATAATACTGATATGATAAGTTTCTGCTGCATTCTGTGATGTCGAGAATTTAAGAAAACATCCAAATTGGTTTAAGGTGATGCACATCATCATTAAATTTTTAGCCACTAAAGAAATTTAAATTTGGTAGCTGATACATACATTTGTTCAATATACAAAATGTGTTTTTCAGCACACAGAAGTTCATTCCCCTACCACAAGGTAGCTGACTATGACCAAGTCAGTCCAGAGTCAATGTTCCCAAATATTTCTCATGCTCTTAAAATTTGTTTAGATTTATTACTGCTGTCAGGGAACTGCCATCAGAGACAAGAGGAGAGGGAAGTCGCCCCAATGATGCAGGGGAGGGAACTAGCAAGGAGAGAGAGAGAGCTTCCGCTGGGGAAGGAAATCAAGGTGACACCAGGAAGAAAGGGGAGGCTGAGAGTACTTCGGAGGGAAGGCTCCGAGACTCTTCCAGTGAGATCAGCGGGGAGAGCACAGGACCTCCGCTTGGCACGCCCACGCTGTGCAGAAAGCTTCCGCGCAGAGAATCTAGGAGGAGACTTGGAGTCAAGGAATTCTTATGTTGGAAGAAGTTTAGGAAACGCCCACTGACGGATTCTGCCAGTGATTGAGACAGTCGCGTTGTAAGGGCTGTCAAACCAGGGAAAGGTTTAGCTATACAACCAGCTTGGAGCAGTTTGGAGTTTACGCACAAGCAACCCCAATTCCCATTACAACCGCATATTGAACAACATAGCATATTAAATACAGTTGTACCTCGGGTTAAGTACTTAATTCGTTCTGGAGGTCCGTTCTTGTTCCACAGGGTGGGTTCCCCTATCGAGAAGGTCCCCTGTAACTTCTCACAAAAATGTAACATTTAATACATTGGTACTTCGTGTTAAGAACTTAATTCGTTCTGGAGGTCTGTTCTTAACCTGAAACTGTTTTTAACCTGAAGCACCACTTTAGCTAATGGGGTCTCCTGCTGATGCCGCTGCACCACCAGGACATGATTTCTGTTCTTATCCTGAAGCAAAGTTCTTAAACTGAAGCATTATTTCTGGGTTAGCAGAGTCTGTAACCTGAAGTGTATGTAACCTGAAGCGTATGTAACCCGAGGTACAACTGTATATCTTAATTTTGGACAGGGAACTTTCCCGCTTTGGCCACCTTTAAAATAATAATGAAAGCACATTTTATTTATGAATATAGTACAGATCCATATTTAAATTTGAACAAAATGATGTTACCAGGATAAGCTGTACTTTTCAAAACTAGAGAGAGAAAACATATAATATTCAACTTGATTTGTATAGGAAACTAGACTTTTTTACATAACAAAAGGAACATTATAACATCTAAATCACTTCAGTTCTTCCTCTGTCCCAAGCATTAATTAGCATTGTTCCGTAATTTGGGACTGCACTTCTTCCCGAGACTCTAATCCATTTGCCTCTTAGTTTCAGGTGGTGATGAAATGGAAATGAAGAACAAGGGAGACCACAACGAAATCCACACAGTGGAGGAGCCAAATCAGGATTCAGGCTGTGGAGAGAGCTTCAGTCAGAGCTCCCATTCCACTTCCCATCACATAATTCATACAGGGGAGAAACCATATCACTGCTTCAGTCACAGCCACAATCTCACTTCCCATCGTAGAATTCATACAGGGGAGAAACCCTATCAGTGCTTGGAATGTGGAAAAAGCTTCAGGAAGAGCTCCGATCTCACTTCTCATCGTAGAACTCATACAGGGGAGAAACCCTTTCAGTGTGTGGAATGTGGAAAGAGCTTCAGTCAGGGCTCCCATCTCACTGCCCATCAAAGAATTCATACAGGGGAGAAACCATATCACTGCTTGGAGTGTGGAAAGAGCTTCAGTCAAAGCCACAATCTCACTTCCCATCAAAGGATTCATACAGGGGAGAAACCATATCACTGCTTGGAGTGTGGAAAGAGCTTCAGTCAAAGCCACGATCTCACTTCCCATCGTAGAATTCATACAGGTGAAAAACCATATCAGTGCGTGGAATGTGGAAAGAGCTTCACTCGGAGTGCCCATCTCACTTACCATCAAAGAATTCATACAGGGGAGAAACCCTATCAGTGCGTGGAATGTGGAAAGAGCTTCAATCGGAGTGCCGATCTCACTTCCCATCAAAGGATTCATACAGGGGAGAAACCCTATCAGTGCGTGGAATGTGGAAGGAGCTTCAGTCAGAGCTCCCATCTCACTTCCCATCAAAGGATTCATACTGGGGAGAAACCATATCACTGCTTGGAGTGTGGAAAGAGCTTCAGTCACAGCCACGATCTCACTTCCCATCGTAGAATTCATACAGGGGAAAAACCATATCAGTGCGTGGAATGTGGAAAGAGCTTCAATCGGAGTGCCCATCTCACTTTCCATCAAAGGATTCATACAGGGGAGAAACCCTATCAGTGCGTGGAATGTGGTAAGAGCTTCAGTCAGAGCTCCCATCTCACTTCCCATCAAAGGATACATACAGGGGAGAAACCATATCACTGCTTGGAGTGTGGAAAGAGCTTCAGTCAAAGCTACAATCTCACTTGCCATCGTAGAATTCATACAGCGGAGAAGCCATATCACTGCTTCAGTAACAGCCATGATCTCACTTCCCATCAAAGAAATCATACAGGGGAGAAACCCTTTCAGTGCGTAGAATGTGGAAAGAGCTTCAATCGGAGTGCCCATCTCACTTCCCATCAAAGGATTCATTCAGGGGAGAAACCCTATCAGTGCCTGGAATGTGGAAAGAGCTTCAATCAGAGGGCCCATCTCACTTCCCATCAAAGGATTCATACAGGGGAGAAACCCTATCAGTGCGTGGAATGTGGAAAGAGCTTCAGGACGAGGTCCGAACTCACTTCCCATCAAAGGATTCATACAGGGGAGAAACCCTATCAGTGCGTGGAATGTGGAAAGAGCTTCAGGAAGAGCTCCGATCTCACTTCCCATCGTAGAATTCATACAGGGGAGAAACCATATCACTGCTTGGAGTGTGGAAAGAACTTCAGTCACAGCCATGATCTCACTTCCCATCATAGAAGTCATACAATGGGAAAACCCTATCAGTGCGTAGAATGTAGAAAGAGCTTCAATCGGAGGGACCATCTCACTTCCCATCAAAGGATTCATACAGGGGAGAAACCCTATCAGTGCATGGAATGTGGAAAGAGCTTCATTCAGAGGGCCCATCTCACTTCCCATCAAAGGATTCATACAGGGGAGAAACCCTATCAGTGCGTGGAATGTGGAAAAAGCTTCAGTCAGGGCTCCCATCTCACTTCCCATCAAAGGATTCATAAAGGGGAGAACCCTATCAGTGCGTGGAATGTGGAAAGAGCTTCACCTTTAAAATAAGCTTCACATCCCATCAGAGTATTCATACAAGGATATGTCAGACAATGTGAGAAACATAATAGACATTATGGAATTGTTAGAAGTAAACATTAATACGAAGGCTGTTTTAAGTTTTGTGGACACGGAGAAAGCCTTTGATAATATTTCCTGGAGTTTTATGAAGAAGAATCTCCAAGGGATGGGGGTAGGCCAAGGTTTTGAGAACGGTATAGGTGCAATATATTCTGAACAAAAAGCAAAGTTAATTGTAAATAATGTGGTCACGGAAGAAATTCCTATAGAAAAAGGAACACGACAGGGATGCC